ATTTATTCTATGTATCTTTCAGTTTTGCTGCCATTTTAAGAAGTGTTTTTAAAAAATTGTTTTCTTACCATTCATTGCTGGTATTTGAAAATTCAACAGATTTTTATATTCATTTAAAAGCAGTCACCTGGCAAAGCTGTCTAATGACGTTTAATAATTTTTAGATTATTTTGGGTTTCCAGAATAGTCAATTCTGTTATCTGTAAATAACGACAGTTTTGTGTTTTCCTTTCCTGTTCCATATACTTTTAAATTCTTTTATTATTTCCTTCTTTTGTGTTGGCTAGGACTCTGGTACAGTCTTAAGTAAGAGTGGTAATAGTGGGATCCTTGTTGTGTTCCTGATTTTAAGTGAACTGCAACTAACATGCCACCATTAGATTAATATTTGCTGTAAGTTTTGAATAGATTACCTTTATCAGGTTAAGGAAGTTTCCTTCCATTCCTTTTTTGCTAAGATTTTTTCTAAAAGTCATGAATGGATATTAAATTTTATCATTTATTTTTTCTCTATGTATTGAGAAAAAATAATCAAAATTTTTAATGTGGTGAATATGGTGAATGATATTTATAGAGTTACTTACGTTAAACCATACTTGCATTTCTGGTATGACAACCTTAGCCATGAAGTATGATCTTTTTATATATCACAAGATTTAGCTTGCCAGTACTTTTGTATAAGATTTTTACATTTATGTTAAGAGTGAGATTGGTCTATAACTTTCCTTTCTCGTATATTTCTTGTCCAGTTTTATTTTCTCTCATGACTTCATGGAATAACTTGAAGAATAGTCAATCTTCCTAATAATGTTTGCTTGTTTGTTTTTTGGTTGGGGTCTCACTCTGTTGCCCAGGCTAGAATGCAGTGCCACGATCATAGCTCACCGCAGCCTTGCCCTCTTGGGTTCAGGCCATCCTACTGCCTTAGCCTCCCAAGTAGCTGGGACTACAGGCGCACACCACCACACCCGGCTAATTTTTTAAACAATATTTTGTAGAGATGAAGTCTCACTATGTTGCCTAGGCTGGTCTCAAACTTCTGGACTCAAGCAATCCTCCTACTTCGACCTCCCAAAGTGCTGGGATTATAGACATGCACCACCATACCCAACCCAACTTTTAAAATAATTTTTGAAAAAGATTATATAACATACAAGTATTTGTTATTTGACAGTTTAGTAGGATTTAGCTGTAAAATCATTCTGGCCTTGGGTTTTTGTGTATGTGTGAAAATTATAAACTACTAATATAATTTCTTTAATGACTAGATGTATTCAGACTTTTTGCTTTCTTGAATCAGTTTTGGTAAGTTATATTTTTGTCTATTCTAGGTTTTTAAATGTATTTGCATAATCTCATATGTAATTTAAAACAATTTTTTATTTTAAAGATGTGGGGTACAGTTCAGGATTAGGTATACAAATGTTCATTATGCAGGTACCCTTGTTGATGAGGTGTGCTCCCTCTCCCCTGGCAGATTCCCGCTACTGCCAATCCCTTTCTTATTATCTTTTTTTTATTTTTTATTTTTTTACTTTTTTTTTGAGTTGGAGTCTCACTCTGTCGCCCAGACTGGAGTGCAGTGGCCGCTCCCGGCCACCGCAGCCTCGACCTTCTGGGCTCCGGCGATCCTTCTGCCTCAGCCTTCCCAGTAGCTGGAATTACAGGCAGGTGCTACCATGACCGGCTGATTTTTTTTTTTTTTTAAATTTATTGGAGAGATGAGGTCTCGCTGCCAGGCGGGTCTCGAACCCGCGGGCTCGGGCAATCCACTCACCTCAGCCTCTCAAAGGCGTGGGATTACAGGCTGAGCCACCAAGCCCGGCTCTTATTATCTTTTTATTTATTTGTTTGTTTTGTTGAGTTTGAGTCTCACTTGGTCGCCCAGACTGGAGTGCAGTGGCACGCTCATGGCACCCCCAGCGTCGACCTAGTGGGCTCTGGCGATCCTTCCACCTCAGCCTTCCACATAGCTCAAACTACACACCCGGCTAATTTTTGATTCATTGTAGAGAGGAGGTCTTGCCAAGCTGCCCAGACTGGTCTCAAACCCGTGGGCTCAGGCAATCCACTCACCTCGGGCTCCCAAAGTGCTGAGATTACAGGCCGAGCCACCGAGCCCGGCTGTCTTGTGATCTTTTATATTTCTGTTTCATCTGCAGTTTTGTCTCCTTTTTGTACCTAAAATTATTTGAGCATTTATCTTTTTTTCATGATCAGCCTTATCAAAGATTCACCTATTTGATTAGTTTTATGCCAAATCAACCTTTGTTTTTTTCAGTCTTCTCTATTGTATCTATCATATCTTTGTTTCCTAGTTCACTAATTTCTACTCTTCATTCTGTACATCTTTCTGCAGGTTGGATTCTTTGTGTATTAATTCCTATCAAGGCTATTGATTAATCTAAGTAATGTTTTTGCTGCATCCCAGATATTCAATATAGAGATATTTACTAATCATTCAATTTTACATTTTTGAAAAATTTCATTGTAATTTTCTCTTCGATTAATGACTTATTTAGAAATGTATATTTGAAATTTCCAAACGTATGGGCATTTAAAACATAGCATTTTATTCTTGATTTCAAACTTTCTTGCATTCAGTTGAGATAATGCAGTTGGTACTATGCTTATTCTTTGAAAGTTGTTAAAATTAGCTTTATTTTATGTTTTCAACTTTAAAAAAAATTTTTACTTTAAAGACATGGGGCACAATTCAGAGTTAGGTATACAAATATTCATTATGCAGGTACCCTTGTTGATGAGGTGTCCCTCCCTCCTGTTTTCAACTTTTTTGAGAAGAAGATAATTTTTTCATTTCTTATGATATCAGATTTGTGTTGTTGCACACACATGTATGTGTGCACATATACACACATGAGTTTTAGTTTGTTTTAATCTCCTAGTACAATGATGGATTTGTTCACATTCCTTTCTCCTTTTTTGATTTACATATTTTGAGATTATATTATTAAATGCATGTAATTGTAAAATACTTACATTTTCATTTTATTGCAACATAGTGATTCTCTCTATCCCCAATTAATGTCGTTTGTCATTAAGTATGATTTATGTGATAATAATCTAACCACCCCAACTTCAGTTGTTTGTTTTTGCCTAAAGAATCTTTTTTTGTATCTTTACCTTTCTTATTTACAAATAACATACATCTGAATTGAAAAAATCCAATTTAACAACCTCTATCTGTTAACTGAAGAGTCTAACCCATTTGTATTTATTGTGATTATTGCAGGAAGACAAGTCCCTGAATGGCCTTGACTAATCCAGCTGCTTCCCCCTCTTTCTTATAATTCTTGGCCAGAATGTACTGATTATGCAACATACTGAGATAAGTAAGAACCACCCAGAACAGCCTGGGCTTTGTCCTTGTTTCTTCCAGAACAACGCCCCGCAATGCTTAAGTTTAGTGAGTTGAGTACCCCTGGGGTATAAAACCCAGAGTGTACTGCTTTCAGGGTCCCTCAACTGTGGTGTAAAACTGGGCATATGCAAATGAGATTCTCTCTGCTCTGGGTGACTTTCTTGAGTCTTGCGGGTACTGCCTTGCCATGAATCCTAGGCTTCAGTTCATCCTTGCTATCTATCTGTGAGTAATACATGTGCTTTGTCTGACTTGCATGGGTGTTCTGTCTCACCAGACTCAGGCTCTGGCAGTTGGGTTTGTACAAAACCCCTGGAAACTGGGTTTGTGTAGACTTCTGCTAGACTTGGGCACTTGCTAAAATACAGGAACCTTCCCCTCCAGAGGTAGTGGACACTGGCTAGTTACCAGGTGACACTTGTGACTAGCAGTCCCTTTATCCCCGTGGCCTTGGTGTAAAAGGCACATATACTGGTCCACACACAGGGGTTTAGAAATAAGGGTTGGCTGGTCAACTTGAGCATGTTACTAACAAAGGGAACATTGGGGTTATTTTCTGGTGGGAATAGCATGTCACTAAAGCAGGCCTTTTGATACATTAAAATGTTTTAAAAGCAAAATAGAAGTTTAGATTCTAATCAAATTTTTAGGATTTCTAAGTAATTTTTACAGAGTTGCTTGTTTGCCTCAACTGTCCCTCTTTGCTCTTAGGGGAGTTGGGGACAGAGCTGAAGTCATAACACATGTAATTTTGTATCCTGGTGTCTTTTCTCCCAGTGCCAAGTATCCCTTTGCTTTGTTGAGACTGCAGAGGCGTTATCTCTTCCTTTGACAATTAGAAACCAACTCTACCTTTCTCCCCTCCATTTCCCCTCCTGTTCTGGGTGTTTTGTGTTGGCCATGGTTTCCTCTTGCCGTGACTACTGCTAATTGCCATGTATGGTATGTTCAGAGTTAGATAACTCCTCGTTGTAGACAAAACTGTGCAACTGCCCACAGTAGCACTTGTAAATTAGCCTAACATTTATAAGAAAAAAAAAAAAGATATGGGAATCTTAGCAGAAATTGGCAAGATGTTTAGAGTCCTGGTTACCAGTGCATGATGTTACTCCACTAGGGATCAATACCAGTACACAATTATTGATAAATGTGGATTTGTTTTTAACATCTACTTTTTGTTTTCTATGTGTATTGCTAAATCTATGCTATTTTTCCTGTTTCTTGCTTCTTACAAGTTGAAGTTTTTGTTTCTCTTTTTATTTTTTTCTTCCTAAGGGATTTGGGCACTATATTCTTAGTTTTTTAGTGGTTATCCTTGACATTTTTCCAAATGTACTTAACAAAATCTAAATTTGTCCATAATTTGCTCCGCCTCTAAACAAATATAAGAGCCTCAGAACATGTTAGTTCAATCCCTTAATCATTTTATATGCCATTGTTGTTGAGTCAGTTAGTGTGTGCTTTTTAAAGAAAACATTATATATCATATACAATGCTATTTATATTATTTTATATTTTTCAATATACTATTTTATATAGAAAAGTTTTGTTTAGATTTGCCTACATAGACATCATTTCTTTGCTGTTTCTTTTTGTTTTTCAGATCCCACTCTGGAATCATTTTTCTTCTGTCTGAAGTATAATTTTTCAGAAGTTCTTTAGAGAAGAACTATTGGTAAACTCTCAATTTTTATAATCTGAAAGACTCTTATTTTGCATTCGGTCTTGAAAATCAATTGCTGGATTTACCATGCTAAGTTAAAATTATTTCCTATTTGCACTTTCAAGAAAATAGACTACCATTTTCTGATTTCCATTGGTATTGTTAAGAAGTCTGTTATAATTCCACAATTGTAGGTCATCTGTAATTTTTCTCTGACTACTTTTAAGAGCTTCTGAGTATGTCTAAGTATAGCTTTACTTTTAAATTTGCTTTCCTGCCTGGTGATATGCATTATGCTTTCTGCTTTTTTGGAGTCCAGTCACTAGTTTTAGACAATTCCTAGCCTTGATCTGTATGTATGTATATATGTATGTATGTATTTATTTATTTAGAGATGGGATCTCACTCTGTTGCCCAGGCTGGAGTACAGTGGTGGGATCATAGCTAACTACAGCCTTGAACTCCTGGGCTTCAGCAATTCTTTCATCTCAGCCTCCTGAGTAGCTAGGACTACAGGATGCACCACTATTTTAACAATATTTTTTGTTGAGATGAGATCTTGCTATACTGTCCAGGCTGTTCTTAAACTCCTGGGCTCAAGTGCTCCACCTGGGCCTCCCAAAATGCTGGGATTACAGGTGTGAGCCACTGCAGCTAGCCAGCCTTGATTTCTTCAAAATTTTCTTCTCCATCATTCTTTTCTTCTGGAACTCCGGTTATTTGTATGTTATACATTTTAAATTTCAATCTCTCTTTCAATTGAAAATCTTGTATATTTTCAATCAGTCTCTATTGCATTCTGGGTAATTTCTTCAGTTCCATTTTAGAATTCACAAATTTTCTCTCATCTGTTGTTAAGTCCACCAAATTATTGGAAAAAATCCAATCTAACAAACCAAATTAGGTTTGTTTCCAGCAATTTTCATTTTTGAAAATTCTAGCTTTCATCATGCCTGGCCCTTTATAGTGTCTTATTGCTGATTTATTTTTTTGTGATTCTATTTTTTAGTTCTTTAGATATTTAATATATCATTCTATATTTGATAATTCTATTCTTTGAAGTTCTTGGGTGCTGTGTTTCCACTGATTCTCACCTATGGTTTGTTGATTTTAGCTGTAGAGTTCCTCCCTCGTTTTGTTGATCTGAACTGAAGTTGTTTTTCTCCAGAAAGGACTTGAATTGGCTTCTGCCAGGAGCCCAGGTGAGCTTTGTTTTGCTTGTTTATTTGTGTGTATGTGTTCCCATTTATTTTCTGCCCTAGTAATTTCCCTGAGTTCAGCAGTGCCTTAAAAAGTATATCTTTTGTTTAGGAACTAGCTGTTTTATGGCAGAAAGACCGTTCAGGAAGTAAAAGCCCTAATGAATTCGCTAGTTGGGGAAGTGCTTTAACTGTTGGCTAACATTAGATTTTCAAGAATAGGCTTTGCAAGTGATGGGAATTATAGAAATAAGTAGGTTTCTGGTCCAATAAATGAAATCAGTACTCAATAAACAAGGGTGTTATTTACTTTATGGGAGGATCAGCTGTGGAGATTTTCTGGTTGCCTAGTGCATCAGAGGTTCCATTTGTGGTTGTTCGTTTCTGAAGAGGGAAAACAAAAATGAAGCCAAAGCATTTTTGTATAGCAATTAGGGAGCAAACTGAACTAAGACAAACTAATTGGAATTGTTATAGAAATTGTGTGTGTGGGGGAGGGGGGATAGAATTTAACTAAACAAAAATCTACTTTGCACACTTCCCAGGAAGCACAACTAGGTATATTTTACCTTGGACAAAAAATGGTATCAAGTTTGTTTTGTTTTGTTTTGTTTTTTTGGTTGGAGTCCCACTCTTGTCACCCAGGCTGGAGTGCAGTGGCATGCTCATGTCCACTGCAGCCTTGACCTGCTGGGCTCAGGTGACCTTTCCACCGCAGCCTTCCAAGTAGCTGGAACTACAGGCATTGCCACCATACCTGGCTAGTTTTTGGTTAATTGTAGAAATGAGATTACACCAAGTTGCCAGGTTGGTCTCAAACTCCTGGGTTCAGGCAATCCTCTCACCATTGCCTCCCAAAGTGCTGGGATTACAGGCGTGAACCACTGCACCCAGCAAATTTTTGTTTTGTAAACTCTACTATAATTCTTTGGTCTGCTCCCCTTTTACTTTCTACAATTATTTTTAACCTTTTTGTCTTTCTTCAACCCTCAGAGCCAAACCTTCTTCCTTCTCTGTCACTCTCAGCAGATGGCATTGACTGATTTTTTACGAAAGACACAGACACCATCAGAAGGAAGCCATCACATACCACAACATCACAGCTAAAGCTTCCCTTCCTTGACACCTCTCCTTTTCCCATTCCCCCATAGTTGTAAAGGATTGGCTGCTTTTACTCCTTTGTGAAGCCACTTGTGCTCTGGACTCCATCACTTCCCATGTCCTCTGGGACTTTCATTCATTCATTCATTCATTCATTCTTTCTTTCTCTGCCTTTCTCAGTATTTCTCTCTCTCATCTGCAACCACTCCTGTTCATCTTGGTTTTTTTTTTTTCCAGAAACTTTTAAGACATGCTCAGAACCATGGGAAAAATAACTGGTTCTCCTTCAACTCCCCTCCATCTCCCTCCCATTACCAATCCTTCCTCTTTCCCCTACTTCACAGTCAGATCTCAAGAGAGTTGTCCAGAAATATTGTCTCCATTTCTTCCTGACTCATATCCCATCTGGATTTTACCCCCGACACCCCATTGGAATTCTCACTATTCGTTTTCCATGTTTCCAAATCTAGTTGACATTCATTGATCTTCATTCTACTTGACTCTTTCATAGCACTCAACACAGTTTCAAAAATCAACGGTGGACAAAAATGCACACACACACACACACACACACACACACAAACACACACTTTAGTCCCTATCTTAAAATGTCAGTTATAAAGCAGTGGAGTCAACAATGTTTAGTTGAATATCAATGTATTTATCTTACAACTAGCTTAGTTATTGTAAGACTATCAGTTAACATAATCATTATTCATTATTACAATTATATAGATAAGTATATTTTAGTAAAAATTATTATTTCTACTTTGTATTTCAATTAAGAATTGAAATTGATTTTAAGATTTATATGCATAAGTAGGTTACATTTTTTATTTCATTCAGGTTAGTAAAAAAGTTCAAAGTACTTCCTAGAAAACATTGAATTGAGAATTTCTGCTCTAGTTGTGCGAACTCTCTCTTTGCTGAGACCAAGGGAGTGACCCAGCATGAGAGAGCTTCTATACTGCTTTCAGAAAAGATTCAATTTGTCAAATAGCTGAATGATAACACTGTCTCTAACTAATATGAGTTATTTTAGTTGTTCCTTAGTTCTTAAGTGAGTTACCTTAGTAGTGAGCATGTTTCATCTATTTAGTTACTTCTTTGTGAAGTGAACTCTTTACAACGCATTATGCATGGGAAGACATCGAGTAGAAAAGCAAGCCTCCAAGCACAAGATTTTTTTCACCTTGAAAATGTTTGTAGTGAAGTTATTTCCTGGCTGTGGTTCTTTCTTTGAAGAACATTTATCGTGGACTCAAAATGGCAGGTAATTGTTCTGGTAATTGTTGCCAAGAAATGTATTTTAGCCACTAGACTGCTTTCTGCAATGGGGCTCTTGCTTCCCCCTCTGCAGAGTAAGACATTCTGGATGCTTCAGCCCGAAGGCCTGGCTGCATGACAGGTGGGTGGTCTCTGAAAGAGAGCTCCTCTTTTTGCCATGGACCCGGGGCCAACGTGTCACACCCTTCAGGGGGCATCGTGCACGTGGCACCCAAAGCACAAGGTTGTGGCTCTTGGGATAGAGTGTCCCTCTGCCTTTAAGGGAACAAGGGGGCTGTAGCAGTATGCAGAGGCATGTCTCACCAGGGCTGTCATGGGAAGCGGGCTCATGGGGAAGATTAATGGGCAGAGACGTGCAGGCTAGTTTGTGTGCTCGTAGAATACAGCGCCGCAGAAGCAAAGGAAGCCATCTAAGCTCCTGTAACTCGAACTGCCCAAAGAGCAGCATTATCCGTGTCACCTGGGAGCTTATTAGAAATGCACAATTTCAGGCCTCACTCCAGACCCATCAATCATAACCTGCATTTGAACTACATCCCTGTGGACCCACGGGCACATGATAATTTGTGCAGCCTTGCAGCTGCTCTTACCTACATTCAAGGCCTCAGCCTTTGGACCACTCCGGGGAGCTTTTCCTGCTGCCCTGCTGGCCTGGGGTACTCCTGCCACACCCCCCCCACCCTGCACTTTGTCTCCTGGATCTTGTTCGTTTCTTCCCTGACCCGTCCCCCAGGTCTGCGTGTCTTCCCTTCCTCAGCGGCTAGCTCTAGCACAGATCATTTGTTCATTCTACGTTCACCTGGACAGCCCTAACACCTCGCGTGTTACCCAAGAGATAGCAGGCTCCTGGTCAGAAGACTAGACGAGTCAGTGAATGAATGAGCATGTGATCCACACAGCAGATGCAAAAGCCCGAGATTCAAGGATGATTAAGTATTTATTTTCGTTGCTTCTTAGACAAGGTATACAGGTAAAGAAAACCAAAAAACACACTCTTTCAATGGTATAGATTTTAGACATCACCATCAGACCGTGGCATTCAGGATTTCCAGAGCACATTGCTGAGGCACTTCTGTACCCAGAGGCATGTGGAATTGATCAGGCTGTAGGGAATGATGCACTCTCTGGGGGACACATTACCAGTTGCCCGGTGTGGGGCTTGGGGTTTGCAGCCGACACTAGATCAGGGCTCAGTGCACAGCCTGCCTGTCTTTCCTTAGTGGATCGTCCAGCTGGCAGACGACAGGCCCTCTGTGGCACCTGGGCCCTCCCTCCTGCCGCCCACCTTGGATTGCTTCCCTCCCGAGGAGCACCTTCAGCAGGTGGGTGGAGAAGGGATGGATGTACCCTGGGCTTTGCTCTGTGTCAGCGTCTTTGGTGTAAGGAACCATCTCCCAGCCCACAGAGGGCTGGAGAAGGAAGGCACCCAGTACACGCTGGGGTTGGGGATCACTGGTGGGTTTCCACTGCCTGTGTTCTCCCTGCCTCCCATGACTAGGAATCGATGGGCCCTCCTTATGCCAAGCAGTGCTCAAATCTCTGCTTCACCTGCTCCCTTCGAGCGAGGCTCTGTGGGCCACAGCTGGTGTGCCATCAGTGCCAATTACAACAGATGGAAAATATCTGCAAGAAGAGCGTCCCTAGCACGGCCTTCCCCCATCAGTCAGAGATCTAATGAGATATTCTTGCACTGGGCTTTTTCTTTTTCCCTTTTCACAGAAGGACCCTAATGTGTTCCACAGACACGAGCTCATGAAGATTCCCTGGTGGAGGCAGGGCATCTTCGCCTAATGACACCCTCTGACCAGTCTTCTCAGGCCCTACTCTCGGGGTCCCATCGGAAGATTCCTTCAGGGCCAGGTGCAGTGGTTCACGCCTGTAATCTCAGCACTTTGGAAGGCCAAGGTGGGAGGATTGCTTGAGCCCAGAAGTTTGAGACCAGTCTGGCAACATAGCAAGACCTCGTCTCTACCAAAAAAAAAAGTTAGCTGGGCATGGTGGCATGTACGTGTAATTCTGGTTACCCGGGAGGCTGAGGCGGGAGGATCCCATGATCAGTGACAGACTGAGACTGGAATTAAAATAAAAAAGATGACCTTGGGCCCAGGAGACTTATTGGGACCGTACCTCTTTGTGTTTAAAGATTTTGGGGGGCAGATCACCCTGGTTCTGGAGGGGACTGGGAGACTCTCTGGAGAGCAGCTGTTTCTCCACAGGAGAAGTGAACTAGTGTCAGCAGGGGGCAGCGAGGGGTGGCATATGACTGGGGAATAGATGTCCTGTGGCCTGAAGGTGGTCTGCCCTCCTGTGCTCTGGGGAGCAGCATTTTAGGTTTATAGCTGTGTCGGGAAGACCTTCCCTTCTTTCTTGAAACGTTAACACTCCGTGAGGAGGAACTTGGAGTCAGTGTGGTTTTCTGGGTGCTTGGAAGGCAGGTTCTCTGTCCACTGGCGGCAGAGGACATCTGGAGGGGTCCCTGGTGTTTTCCCACAGGCCCCACTTAATGAAGACAGTCCTTCAGCCCCCGGGCAGGGTGGATGGAAGAGCTCAACTCCGATGCCTGGTGAGCCCTTCCGGGTTTTCTCTCCCTCCGCCTTGGACTGGTTTTGAAAGGGTCTGTTCCAGGCCTCCCCGGGACATGTTCAGGCTAATGATGGAAAAGGTGAGAAGGCACCGTGGTTTCAAGAACGGTCACCACCAACTTACAGGAGGGAAGGAAATTACACTTGTTCTCCAGACGGGCTTCATTAATGGCTCTGGCAACGAGGTAACTTCACACTCTCACAAGGAGGATCAATTTGCAGGCTCCATGGGGACTTCTGACTTTCAGGGGGAAAATTTCCCCAGTTCCGGGAGGATTAGGCGAAGTAGCTTCACCCCCAACCCCCTCCCGGAAAGGACCCCAGAAAGGACCTTTAATCAGCTCCTCAGGCCCAAGGTTCCAGGCTTACCCTCCTGCCTTTGCTCCCTCCTGGGCCTTCTGCGACTGCCCAAGCTGGAGAGGAATGACATCCCTTGCCCACCCCGTCTACCCCCTACCCACCACCTGCACGGAGGGCTCATCAGCTTCCTAGGGCGGCTCCAGGGGTCACTACGGTCTTCCCTGCCTCCTTAGCATCCCAGCAAGCAAGAGCCCTGGGGAAATAGCAAAAGGGGAGTGAAGCGGGGCATGGGTGGATCGAATCCACCAAGGTACAAGCCTCTTCTGCACAAAAAGTGTGTGTATATCTCTGCAGATGTCACAGCATGATCTGTTCTTCCCTGGCCTCTGGCCCTTGCATTTAAATCTACAAGTTGAAATCTCAGGGACCCAACTTTTTAGCTAAGTATGATTGCAAATCCTGTTATATATGTGGAATATATGTACGGACACATCACACACACGCGTGTGTCATTCTGAATATTACTGCATACATTTGCGTCCCAGGAATTCGGACCTCAAACGACCCTGCGGACGATAACATCACTCTGCTCCATCCAGAGTAGAAAACCTCACAGGCCCAGGGCACCGTCCTGCTCACGCCCGGTGTCACACGTGGCTCGTCTTCTCCACCAGGGCGTGGTCGGTGGGCTGCGTGAACCTGACGGCACCGTCCCTCTCCCAGCCCCTTCGGATCCTGGAGAGTCTGCGGCTGATGCAGGGCAGAAAGAACAAGGCTTTGGCCAGGATGACGACGCAGGGCACCAGCAGCGTGAGCGTGAAGGTGGGAGGCAGGTAGAACTTGTAGCGGCTCTCCTCGAAGGCGCGGGTCCAGCCATAGGTGAGCGTGTGCAGCGTGCTTAGCACCAGGGCCACGAAGCCCAGTGTGGACTGCGGAAGGAAAACAAGGCTGCAGTGAGGGGTGGTGACAGGCACAGCGATTTTGCCAACAATGTGTCTGCTCACCTGGTGGAGAGGAAGGAGGGCCACTGCAGTACTCACGGCTGTGGGTTCGAATCCCAGCCCCGACACTCTCTTGGTGCATGATCTTATGATAACTAGCTGAGCTCTGAGCCTCAGTCTCCCCAATAGAAAGATGGGATGAATGCGTCTGTGCTGAAATTGTTTAAGGATTGATCAAGTCATGTGAATTCAATAAGATAACGAGGCTTCCCCCCTAACTGTTATCTGTACCTCTGGTGGCTGCCATTAGATGGAATGAAGTTCAAAGAAGTTTAAAAACATTTGACTAGTTCTGTGCATATTTCAATGTGTATTAGAGTAATAAGTGTCTTCCAGCATACCAAAATAATAATTCCACAGATAATATTTGGCCAAAGTTAAGACCGGATAAAAAGTGAACTGGGTTTAAGCTGAGAGTGGCTCACGCCCAGTCTCAATGGCCTGAGAGGCTGAGGAGGGAGGTTTTGCTTGAGGCCAGGAGTTCGAGTTAAGTTGGCTTAAAGATAAACACAAGTCAGTAATTCACAGGATGGCACATTAATTTGACACCGGTAGTGAAGTTGGCTTACAGGGGCCCGCAGTCTGAGTGACCTGGCACCTTCTAGAAAGTACCAGACACCACATAGATGCTCTCTGTACGTGCTGATCCTTTACCTCCTGGCCCTGGCTAAGTTATGAACACCCCAGGCAGAAGCCCTACCAAGCTGATTCTCCTACCAGGAAGTGGCCGTGGGGAGATAAGACCATCCCAACTCCAAACGGAAGTGGTCTGGCCACTTTACAACGGAGCTTTCCAGTCCCTGAGCCACGTGTGGTCTTTGGTGGGTCACTTCCCGCCAAGAGCGGCTTGTCCGTCACCCGATATGACTTACTATAGAGGTCACTGTGTGAAAATGGCTGGGAAGCGCTGCTCTCCCGTGACTCCAGCCTCATTGGGTGTAAGGCTGCTCATAGCCTACAAGGAGAAGACCTGGTTTCTACTGCTGGTGCTGGTCCAAATCACAATGACCCTGGACCTCTGTAGGGGTAGTGAGTGATTCCAAAGCTAAAGGTGGCAGGGGAAATGCTGAGTAGAGGCAGCAGCCTCCATCCAGTTCCCAGACCAGGCAGGCAAGGACACAGCAGAGGACACTGAGAGGGAGGGTTTTCTGCGGGCCAGGGAGGAGAGGCACAAGGCAGTTCTGACTGAATTCTGTGAGCGCTGAGGAGTTGCTGAGATTTAGGGGCAGGAGAGACCTATGTTTATTGTGGAGGAATACAAGGCCTGATTAGGCCAGCATCAAATTGGGTAAATTATATTGAGGAAGGAAATCTCAGGATGAGAAGGAAATCTCAGGATGAGATTTTACAAATGTTACAAAGAAACTTATTGATAACGCAAGGGTCATCAAGGCTGGTTAGACAGCTGCAAAACATTTGCCGTAAACAAAACGGAGATAATCACCTGTTGCTAGTTAATTGTTGCTGCTAATTAACCCTATCTTTTTTTTGAGTTGGAGTCTCACTCTGTCTCCCAGACTGGAGTGCAGTGGCTGCTCCCCGCCACCGCCTCAACCTGCTGGACTCTAGCAATCCTTCCACCTCAGCCTTCCAAGTAGCCGGAACTATAGGCACGCGCTACCACGCCCGGTTGATTTTTGATTTATTGTAGAGATGAGGTCTCGCCAAGTTGCCCAGGCGGGTCTCGAACCTGCAGGCTCAGGCAATCCACTCACCTCAGCCTCCCAAAGTGCTGGGATTACAGGCTGAGCCACTGAACCCGGCTTAATTAACCCTATCTTAAAGAAACAGCACCACAGACCATCAGCAAACCTCTGGTAGAAATTGCAAACTTCCCCTGAAGACAGTTCCCAGCCCACTAAACCCTGACACCACTCTTATAAAAACACCCCTCTAGCCCCTGCCTTTGCAGACAGCAATCTCTGCTGTCCTGCCCACTGTACCCTTCACAACATATCTTCCCTTTAATAAATCTACCTTTCTTAATTCATAACTGTCATGGTGAGTACTTTCATCTCTGTGACTTGGCCATACCAAGACCACCGCCACACACATTATTACATAAGGAGTGAAAATAACAGTGACCAATCAAGCAGTGAGCACATATGCATTTCTCTGAGGAGACACTGCAAGGGTTTAATTTAAAGGTGTGGCAGGCCAGTACCTCGGGCACTCTCTATAGATTGGTTTTGAGAAGCTGCAATTAGGCCTCCTGGATTTCCTTCCAGGCCAGCTGGTTGGCAATGATCCAGAGACTATGCCAAGAGACACTGTCTCATTTGGGCTCCCCTCAGACACGTCTCAAAGTCGGTCTGGTTCTCGCTCCTTCCTGGTGTAAGGGAGTGTTTTGCTTGGACCTGCTCGAGGATAGGTACCAGGAAGGTGAACATCAGTGAGTGAAAGAACATGATTTGGAAGGATTGCTTGTAATACTTTTGCCAAACATAATAATAAACATTTTCCAGTGATGGCACACTGTAATTCCATAGACAGGCTCTTAGGTACATTTTAGACCCCAGTAAAATAACCAGATACAACTTTCTTGATCCTTGTCGGCCATCTCTGGTTCTTCTTGGCTTTGTGGCCAATTCCAGGATCTTCTAATTCCATCCTTAACAACTTTCTGGCTAACCATGGCCAGTAGGGAAGCCATGCTTAGCTTTGCTCTACCACCCACAGTTAATTCTTGTCACTTGAATGTGGTCAGCCCCCAAAGGAAGCTTCCTTGACTATAAGTCACATGTAACCAAATCTCTGTCACTTCCAGAAGTGACTATGAAGAATTCCAAATCCCCTGCAACTTCAGAACCACACCAACTTTCTCTAAATTCTGATCTCTTTTTTTTTTGAAGACTGAGGTTAAAAGGTCCCCAGCACTGACTATTGGGAATAAGTCTTGAACAGCCTGTCAATCACTCTGATGTTCCCCAACCAGGTGCTCAGCCCCAAACTGTAGGTCCTCCCACCTTCTTTGTGGAGTTATTGGAGTTACTGGGATGGCTGGGAGGTACCTTTTGTCTCTCTGAATTTATCAGTCTGATACTAGTTTTCAAACCTGGCTACACATTAAAATCACCTGGGGAGCTGGGGGTGGGGGGGGAGGGAATATAAGGGTCCAAGTCCCACCCCTAGAAACTCCTAAGCATTAAATTGAGCTGGGGCTCAGGCATCTGCCATTTTTTAAAGTTCAGCAGATATGCTGGCATACAGCTGGGACTAAACACTTATTTAGGAGACTCTTGTCACCACATCCTTGTAGCCTCAGCTTGAGAAGTCCACATGGGTCCCTCTGCCCAGGTCATTTGATGGGGGAGGATCTGGACCTCTTTGTCTTTGACGAAGCCCCCACTGAAGGCTTTTTGGTGCCCACTCTCTGCCTCATGGGGCTTTCCAGAGGGTGCAGCAGTAAGACCCCACCGAGGCCTAGGAAGCCAGCCGTGGTGGCCCCAGTGAGGCCTTCACATGGCCCTCAGTTGACTTGTCCCGTAGCTCCGTGGTTTGGCCCATGGGAGCCACTGTCCCCATCCCTTAATCTGGAGAATGATGCATTTTTCTAGGCATTCTGGGCCTGGCGTGGAAACAGGATGGACGCTCTAGGGTCCACTAACAGCAGCCACCTCTTCCTGTTCTCACATCCTCAGCCCTTTGCCAGCCCAAATCCCATGGCGCAGATGGCAGGAAGCCCTAGCCTTGGGCTAATAGTTCACAGCAAGGGCCGTCAGCCAAAGGTTAGCCAACAACAAAGGGCCTTTTGACTTTCCAGTCCCAGTGGGAAGCCTGGATGATTCCAGCCAGAGTTTGTGTCCCTAAAACTCTCTCCTTGAGCCGGGCTCGGTGGCTCAGCCTGTCATCCCGCGCCTTTGGGAGGCTGAGGTGAGTGGATGGCCTGAGCCCGCGGGTTCGAGACCCGCCTGGGCAGCGAGACCTCATCTCTGCAATAAATCAAAAAATCAGCCGGGCGTGGTAGCGCATGCCTGTAATTCCGGCTACTCGGAAGGCTGAGGCGGAAGGATCGCCGTAGCCCGGCAGGTCGAGGCTGCGGTGGCCGGGAGCGGCCACTGCACTCCAGTCTGGGCGACAGAGTGAGACTCCCACTCAACAAAACAAAACAAAAACTCTCTCCTTGGGAACAATCTAAAAATCCTAGGATCGCCAAAGAAGACCAAAAGAAGCAGAGGGATTGTCATGGGGCAATTAATAACTGCCCCCCCAAGCGAGGGCCATTTTTATTATACGTAAGCTTGTTAGCAAAAAAAGAAACAGCCGGGTAGGTGGCAGCTCATGCTGGCGCTCAATTACTCAATAGCATGAAGGGGCCTTGGGCAATCGCTCATGAGGCTGGGTTCAGGCTGGTCTCTGTCATTATTTCAGGCTGGAGGGGGCAAGGTCACAGGAAGTTCTTCTGACTCTGAGTCAGAACTTAGGTGCTAAGAGCTGAACCTTAACTTTTCTGGGCAGCTAAGCTGCTCTGACCCGGGTGTTTTGCAATCTCACATCTAATGATGTTTGTTTAAGTGGCTGAATGAGAACACTTGGCACAGCCAAAACCAAACCAAAATAACAAAAACATCCAAAGAAACACAAACCAAATGAAGAGAGGGACCCCAAGAAACTTAGAATCAACTTCACATTTTGCCTCAGCATGGCCATTTTTGCTTAGACTGACGCACTTTGAATCTAGCACAGGTTAGACATAGATACATTTCCAATAGGCAGGTTTTAGGAAGTGTTCAGACATTTTACTGCAGGTCAAGCTGGCAGCCTACCCCACCCCCTCAGCAAATCTCCATCAGATGCAAGACAAGGACAGCCTGATCTTTCAATTCATCATTTAGCGTAATAATCTCACTAAGAAACTTTCAGGTTCCTTGTCAAAGGTGGAAGGTCAAAGATGACCCCATCACTGGAGGAAGCCATAGAAATGATAATAAGACCACCTTCTGGCTAAGGAGCTTGTGAATTGGAAATGTCTGACAGATCTCTTGCAGGAAAAATTCCCTCCCTTTGTCTCCTCCCAGCAATCATGTGACTAACCCACCCATCTGCCTGCAGTCCATCACCTGACATCAGTACCTGCACTTACCTGCCCCTTTGTGATGAGGTAAAGCAGACCACCATCCAATCACCTTAATGACCCTCTCCTATCAAAGGGAAGGATTAAAAGGACTCAACCAGGAGCAATCAGTCACCATTGCCTCACTAGCCTATGCTGTGGCCACGTGCTCTTTGAGCTATGGCCAGGCTATGTTTCCTGGCTTTTGCCCCCTCCCCTACCTCGGGGAGGTGAATCTCTTCTTTCTCTCTCTCAATTTACTTTCTAAATAAACTATATTTTTTAATCGAACATCTGTGCAATTCTCTGCATCTTTCTCATGGCACTGGATCACACACCAGACACCCACATCTTGGTGGGCCTAACCTAACATTCTGGAGGCCCTGCTGGGAGTGAAACCTAACACCAAAATTAACATCTTTGAAAACAGCCTTGGGAACAAAGGGATAAATGCAAGCACAGGTCACCTCCTTGTGGAATCAACAGCCTCGACTTGCTGGGCTCCGGCGATCCTTCTGCTCAGCCCTCCAAGTAGCTGGAACTACAGGCGCGCGCTACCACGCCCGGCTGATTTTTGATTTATTGTAGGGATGAGGTCTTGCCAAGTTGCCCAGGCGGGTCTCGAACCCGCAGGCTCAGGCAATCCACTCACCTCGGCCTCCCAAAGCGCGGGATTACAGGCTGAGCCACCAAGCCCAGCCTGGACGGTTCTTAACTAAACAAAGTATTACAGATCCAGGGGTCAGTGTAGACCCCTTGAGGACCATGGCTGTTCCCACAGCTGGTTTCTAAGCCCTGGTGGCTGCTGTGGCCATGTGTGGCAGGGGAGGGAGATGGGGTTCAGGCAGCACCTTTGGCTGGGCTAACTTTATGGGAGAAGGTTGCAGCTTGCCTCAAAAATCAGCAAGCCACTATTGGATATGCGCCGTCTGCATTTTACGTGTCCAGCTCAAATCCTTCTGATGACCACCTGAGGCGGACGCAGGCTCAGGTGAGGAAGCACAAGAGGCTAAGATACCTTCCGACAGGCTAAGAAACCTGCCTGAGGGTGCAGGGCCGGGAAGTGCGGGTTTTGGGAGTGAAACCCGGGTCTGCTGGCTCTACCGCCCGTGTTCCCTCTGCGGGAGGACGCCACACGCTGCAGCCTGCGCACCCATGAGTCACCCAAGGAGCTGCAAAAATAGACTCCCAGAGCCATCCTGGAGCATCTGAGTCCATGGGTAGGGCGTGGGCCTGGGTGTCTGTATTTCTACCCTGTCAACAGGGACTCACGGTGAGAACTGCATTTGACACCGCTGCCTGGTGGACACCCAGCTCTACCACATGTGTATGTATAACTACAGAATCAATGTACGTGAAAAATACCTATCCTCACGATATGCAAAGCACTCGGATGCTTTCTTTGCTGTTCTATTTTATTTCATCTTAAAATGCTGGTGGCGACCCACTGGATGGATTGCATGACTCACTAATGAGCATCTTCCACAACTTGCAAACACTGACCTGGAGCACTCTGATGCCCAGGGTTGGAGTCTCTTGGCTTCTACCTCATGTCTCCCACTGAACTCAGAAACGGGTGGTTGGTAGCTTAGTCAAGAATAATGGAAACGTGGCCAGATGCCCTAAGAAGAACAGCAAAAAGAATAGCCTTTATCTTTCTTCCACACACAATCTCTCACTGTGGCCCACAAAATCCCTGTAGGACATTAACTCCATTTTCGAGGGTATATAAACTGAGGCTCTGCCCAAGGTTACAAAGCAGGGATGCAGGGAGGGAGAGCTGGAACCCAGGCTTCCCGGGCGCTGGCAGTGCCTCCTCCATATTGGCATCTGGTGTTTGTGGACAGAATGAGGGCATTTGCTTTCCACAAGTAAAATCCTGCCTTTCTGTCCATCCAGCTCCCCTTGCTCTTGCCGTGGCAAAAGGACTTTCTTATTTGTATTTCGACTCTTTAAAATATGTAAAGTAGAGCGCAGCTGCTGGGGTCCCAGGCAGCTTTTGCTAACAAAATCAAATCCACAGGCTTTCTTGGGCAGCCAGAGCCAGGGCGTGTAATCTACGGCTGCTTAAGGGAGCAGCTTTCTGGTGAGGGGAGCAGCCTGCAGTCTGTTTTAATTGCGGATAAACCACGCGCCCAGGATACTCCAGGTGGGAACAGGAAAATCCTAGATTTGGGTGTGAGACACATGGGGATTAGTGTCAGATACAGACAATTCCTCCCCGCCCCCCTCCCCATGCTAGCTTGTGTCAGTCCTGAGCCTCCCTCCAGGGGCCTTCTGAGAGCAGCAGAGCCAGGGAGATTCAGAAAAAGACACTTTAAAAAACACACAACCCCGACTCTGCTTTGTTCCAGGGTGTGTGAAGCGTCCCCAGACAGGAGCAATTAATTTGGATTACATAAGAGCTTTACGCTGTCACTGTCCCTGAGTCCTGTGCCGCATCTCCACTGCACAGAGAAGATACTCGACAGATTTTTGTTGATAGTGGGGGTGGATAGGATCGCTGTTCTCTGCCCTGATACAATACAATGGCAGGATCCAGCATTAGTCAGCTCCCACCCATGGGAGGGGATGAGTGAATCCGCCAACACTGACCGCGCATCCTGGGTGGAGAACAGTGGGCGATGCCAAAGATCTGCAAAGAGTGTCCCTGTCTCCACTGTCATCATCCTTGAAAGGTGGCTCTGCCTGTCTTGTTCCCTGTCACATCCCAGGCCTAGCACAATGCCGGCATACAGTAAGTGCTCAATAAACGTTTGTTGGAGGAACAAATGCACCAAGAACATTTTGCCGCTGGCAGCATTTCCCAGAGTGTGTTCTGTGGAGTGTTGAGAGCTTTTATTTGGAAAAAAAAGGAGGGGGAGGGCGCCGAGGCTCACACAAGTGTGGGGAACAAAGGTTTGTTTGCTGTAGATGTTATTAGAATCTCTGATGTGCTAAAATGCATTGTGAATCTCTTGGGGGAAGCAAATGTATGTGACTACAGAACTCCGTTTAGGAATGGAGTCTTTTGGGAAGAGCTGTGTCTCATCCCTACAAACTGGGTGGTCCTAGCGCTCACCTCTCACTCGCCCTTCAGGAGCCAAGGGTTAAAGGGAGTGACAGAGCCAGGTTAAGATGAGGAGGCAGGTGGTAGGCTATGCTTGCTCACCAGCCCACTGCCTTCTACCTAGACCAGCAGAATGCCTGATGGCTGTCCATCACAGTATTTTGTTTGGGAAGCTCAGAAATGGCAGAAGTTGAGAACGCTGGACCCCGGCTTCGGCGTCCTGGTCTCTAATTTTTTCACGTGCCTGTATCTGGCTCCCCCAGCCGTCGGGAGGACGAGTTTGTCTCAGGCAGCCCCTTGTCAGGAGAAGTGGATGGGCCCCCCCACAGGTCAGGAAGGCCCTGGCACCTGCCTGTGGGGTCCTGCTGTGCAGAGCACCGAAGCCCAGGCGGTTCACAGAGGGGCAGGTGGTCGTGCCTGGTCCTAGCAGAGGGGAAACCTACTTTACCTGAACAAAGCTAAACTCCCTCCAGTTGAGCGAGTTGGCAATGGATGGCAGCGAGGTCACAGCCAGCAGGGACAGCGTGCCTAGGGCCAGCACTCCCGAGGAGAGGTATAGCTCCATCCGCCAGACTTCCTCCTCCACCCAGAGGTGGCTCTTGTTGGCCAAAACCTGATATGGACAGAAGGAAAGCCATGAACCCTGGGTCAAAGGCCCTTGGGAGGTGGATGGACACGTCCCTCACAGTGTGTGCCTGGCTCTGTGATGAGGGCTTCAGGCATGAACTCATTGAGTCCTCACAAATAGCCCACGAGGTAGAGATCACTATGATCCGATTTTACAGATGAGGGAAGCAAGGCGCCAGGATCAAGTCACTTTCCCAAGTTCACACATAGCTTATGGGTGCAAAGCTGGGACCAGGACCCATTTGGTCTGGAGCCACAGACACGAGCTCCTGGGGGCTTTCACACGTCGCTCCGGGGAGCCACCAACCAGAAGAGTCACATCAGCGGAGAGTCAGAGGAGTCAGTGAGAAATACAGAACCCTCAGGCATGACTGTATTGCACGGCGGTCTGGCCCCCGAATCCCAGGACAGGAGAGGCACGAACCCAGCTGAGTCCCCTCAGCCGCTGCTGTTTCTCTTCCCAACCTGTCTCACCCTGGACCCTTTGTCTTCCTGGTCCCCCAAATACCCCTGTCACTGGCTCACATTCAGGGCACACAAAGACACACTGAACCCCTCGACATTTCCTGACTCAGAGCTCCCAGACTCCCCTCTTCATACCCAGTCCTCCATTTCTAGCTGAGGCATACAGCTTTGGCTCAGCTTTGCCAGGCAACAGAGACTGACTGCCATTCACCAAGCAATTCAGTGAGTATTTATTAAGCATCTACTGCATGCCAGACTCCGGGCTGCAGAGAACAAGGATACTTGCCCTCACAGAGCTCTGGGGTCTCCCACCATGCTCCAGGATGCATACATTGAGGAGCTCCTGTAACCCCAGAGATTTTTCTCCCTCTCCCTATCTGGCATGCCCCTGTAGCTAAGCTCCCTACCAGTGCCCACCCGGGGAAGAAACTTTGATTTCCCCAACTAGATCAGGTAGCAGAGTTCCTGGAAGCCAAGGTGTTCTCTGAGAACCACCATGAAATGATGGTACTTTCATCGTACCCGCAGAACAAGGAACAGTCTTTCCATTAGAAAATGTGACTACACTTTAGTGGGCAGGTCTCTGCCTCTCAAAACAGAATGACTCATGCGGGTTTTTTAAGAAACGATTTCTGCAGGAACAAAAAAAATAACATAAGCCCAGGAAAACTATTAAAAAGAAATCCACTGGGCTAAGCAAAAATGGTTGTAAAGCTTGGGTGAAAAAGTTTAAAGAAACTGAGAACATGTCATCCATCAGACACTTGTCCTGCAGTTTGTGAAAAATGGTTGCCCGTTCTATTTTAGGGCAGATTGGCTCTCTTTGGTGTCTTTAAGGCACAAGAAGACTAGGAGTCTGGGACCCAGCCTCTTGTCCTATCAGTCATGTGTGACTCCAGGCAACAGTCTCGGAGCCTCAGTTTCTCTACTTGAGTGATCACAGCCAGCACCCTCTGATTTTGCCTGTGTGCCTGGTGTGGCCGCCATCAGCATTGGCTAGAAAGGCGTGCAAGGGGCAGAGATGTCTCCTCTGCAAATCCCCAAGGCATCTTGCTCACCCTGGCAGTGTTGACAACCCCTGCTGAGTAAGTCCTCTCTCCTGTTGCAAGTTGTTTGTTCTTCAACTCGACACCATTAGTCATCCCTTTCTGCGTTTTGGTGAGCTCAGGCAGTTAATGTCACAAGTCGGAGTTTGATGATTACACACATATACCACATTTGCTTGCAAAATGTCTTGGTTTTTTCCTCTAATATTTCCACTCCACAGTGACGCCAGCAGCGGTAGGTGGCGAGGAACTGCCTGAGGACCTGGACCTCCGCCGTCTTGAACAGCCCAAGATGTCCACTTGACTTACTAAACCCCGGGGCTGTCCTCAGAGCTCTCAGGGACCAGTGCTGCCCGCGGCTAACAGTTCTCCACTCCCTTAGTAAGTCACCCATGGTTAGAGCTGATCAAATGGCCACCTTGGGCTGGTTGTGGTGGCTCACGCCTGTAATCCCAGCACTCTGGGAGGCAGAGGTGGGAGGATATCTTGAGCTCAGGAGTTCGAGACCAGCCTGGGCAGCATAGAGAGACCTTGTCTCAACAAAATTTGTTTAAAAAACAAATGGCTGTAGTCCCAGCCATTCGAGAGGCTGAGGTGGAAGGATCACCTGAGCCCAGGAGGTCGAGGTTGCAGGGGGCCGTGATAGTGCCACGGTACTCCAGCCTGGGCAACAGGGTGAGATTCTGCCTCGGGGAAACAAACAAACAAACAAACCCAAAGAACAAAGCAAAACTGGTTATCCTGAGAATGCCAAGGAGAGTGGTCGTCAACAAGAGATGAGAAGATGGCAGTCAGGTGCAGGATTTTCCTCTAGGTTAGATGTGGAAGGGACAGTGAGGCTGCAGCATTCGCTCCCTCCATGTCTTCACAGCAGGCGTGGGTGGGAAGAGGGTAGTAACGACCCACTTCTTGCTAGACCCAGAGCAGGAGGAGGTGGAAGGAGTAGGGGGTAGTGGAAGGGGCAGCCAGCTGTCACAGTCCTATGGGCCTGGATTCTGATGCTGACTCTGCCACTGGGGGGTAGTCACGAGACCCTGGGCAGTCTCTTTCTTGGCTGATAGCATCACTGCCTCTCACTACAGGACTACAAGGATGATGTTTCTGGAAAGAGTAGCAGGAACTGGCCCACAGAAGGTACTTAATATAATAAATGCCTGGTGCTGTTCTAAGTGGCACCGGGTCACTGGACTAGTTCTTGCCCCAAGCTCTACATATCCTCTTCTTTAAGAGATGCCTGGTATTGGTTTCATGGTGGCCAATTTAACAGTCACTCAGTGAACTGGAACTGGGAATCTGTGTTAGGAACTATAGACACCAAGGTGTGGAAGACCTAGTCATGCAACTCCAAGTCAGGTACAAGATGGCGAGTAAGAAAAGTAATAGACATGTGTACAAAAGACAACATATTAGAGGTGAGTCTGGGGAAGGGTGGAAGCTTAACAGAGGCAGGGTTTTGAAGGCGGAATAGAAGTTTGTCAGGCTGTCAAGGTATCCCAGGATGGGTATTCCAGGCCAAGAAGAATTGCCCTTTTAGAGGACAAGATGGGGTCTGAGTGTGACATATCACAGGAGAAGTAGGGGAGTTGTCACATGGGGAAGGGTCTGCCGTTATCCCAAGGGCTAAGGGCAGTCACTGAACGCTTTTCAACAGCGACATGGTTGGATGAGAGGTTTGTTTAGACTGTTCTTTGACAGCCATGTGCGGAGTTAGTCTGGGGCAAGGGAAACGGAAAAACTGTGCAGGTTAAACATTGTCTGTGATCTTGATCTTTGACTTTGATCTTGAAATGCATCTCTAGGGAAATGCACAAGCAATTCAGAAAGTGCTATACAAATATAAATTATTGTTGATAATAACACTGCCAGTAGACATGAGCTCAATGGTTTTCTCTACAGCTGGGATACAGCTTTCTTCCTAATCCATATATCCAGGGACTTGAAGGACATCTTGGGAAAGGAGTTTCCTGTGCCCAGGCTTCCTTGACACAAGGGCCCAGCGGGCAGCCGGGGTAGAGAACGGCCTTGTGGGGACACTGGGATGAGGCACCCACAGACAGGCAGGCAGGGGCGTCACACATCAGGCGAGGACTGGCCAGGAGGCCCTGCTGGTAGGGACTGAAGGCGGAACAGCCTCATGTACCTAGGCTGGCAGCCCTGGGCATGGCTGACCCAGCTGCTACCTGGCATCTGCCTGAATATCTCCAGGCTCAAGCAAGGCTCATATCCAGGTCCCTGTGTGTTAAGCCCCTGCCTCCCCCTGATCATCAGACATACCGCCATCAGTCCTGGTTCTGCCCTGGAGAACCCTGCAGAACAAGTTTAAGGTTCTTTGCGTGAGAGGCCTTCGGTGTCTCCGAGTGATCCCGTCCCGCAGGAGGGATGGTTGCCTGGCAACCTCACCAGGGCCTGCAGCCCTGAAGGGTTTTGGAACGCAGGGAAAACGACCTCGCGTGCACCCCTCTGTGCCCGGGTATTTGCATCAGGGCAAAATTGGGTTAACGCAGTATCAAGGAGAGCCTTGGCAGGGCAGAGAATTTGGAGAAAGGCAGGTGGAGAGTGGCAGGGAAGGGAGGGAGCAGTGGTGTGCCTTGTGGTGGTGGGGGGGTGTGTGTGGACATCAGCTTCTTCCCCTCTGTTCCTGGCCAACTCAGGGGAGAGGGCTCCCACACACAGATCTGTCACCTCCTGGACGGCAAACGTTGGACCAGTCCCCGAGGAGTCCCGCAGAGCCAGGGGCAGGCTCTTTGTAGAAGTGAGGAAGAAAATATCATCAAAGAGCATCAGAAACATAGCACTAGGCGAGAGCTTGATCTACACATCAGGGCCCTGAGGACAAAGAAAGGCTGTGGCTTGTTCAAGGTCAAGGTCTTTGTTCTAATCAGTGATGCTGGAGGACAAGAGTCCAGGGCTCACGCCACCCCACACCAGCTGAAGTAAGGGACAAGGTTGACTGTTTCTTTCTTCCTCTTTGCTGTGGTCCCAGGGCCCAGCAGAGTATGTGCTCAATGAAGGGGTGAATGAATAACCTGAGTTCTGAGACGGTTTACTCAACTGTTAATTAGGATTTGTTTTCCCTTTAGAAAGCAGTGTGGGTCTGAGCATGGATCTGGTATGGAACAGCTGGATCTGAATCCCAGCCTGCTACTTATTGGCTGTGTGAATTTGGCCAAGTTACTTAACGTCTCTGTGCCTCAGATTTCTAATCTGTAAAACAAGGGTCGAACATCCTCACCTGCCTTATAGAAATAAGATAGGAGTTAAATGAATTTACAGTGGGTACACAGAAGCTCTTTTTAAGGGTTCAAGACTATGGTTTTCCTCCCCTTCCTCTCATTTCCATCAGGCCTCTTGCTTCTCTGCCTGACATCTGGGGCTCTTCCTTTCTCTTTGGAAAGTCTGAACCCACAGATGCAGTGATGCCAGGTGTCTGTGGGTGGGGAGGGACAAGGGCAGTTGAGCAGATGGCAGCAGAGATGCAGCGGCAGCCCTGAGAGCGAGTAGGGACTGAGGGCTGCAGTTCTCAGGAGTCGCCCGGTCCTCCCAGGCCCCCATCCTCTGGAGGGGGGATGGCACCCTGGCAGGCATGCCCAGAAAGGGCCCAGTCCCACCAAGGTCCCTGCATCTTGAGCAGGAACAGACGCTGCGGGGGCCACCCGGGTTGGGACAAGGGGTGGACGGAAAGGCTCTTGCTGGCACCCATGCCACACCCTGCTGGGTGACTGGTGTCCTGGGGTGGGCAAGCCCTAGGCACCAACCAGCCAAGGGGCGAGGGATTGGAGGCAGAATTCAGTTGCAGAGAATAAAGAAAGGAGAGACCTGAGCTTGGGATACAGAGCCAAGCCCTGTGAGCTGGTGGGCCAGGAGGAAGCATCGGGGGAATGCCGCTGAGGAAACAGGTGCCAGCCGCCACCGCCTATGCCCCCTTGGCTTGGCCTGAAGACCTCCATTTCCCAGGGGTCCTGCTGGCAAAGGAGCACTACATGAGTTTTCTAGATGAATGAGTACCAACACCCCTCCAAAAAAACCCTAAACCCCCAACACTCCCTTCTGCACCCTTCCCCATCTCGGCCGATGGCAACTCTACCCTTCCAGATGCTCAGACCAAAAGCCATCCCTGACCACTCCTAGGCCCAGGCCCATTACAGCAGCGGCTCTGCACTCCAGCCTCAACACGTGCCTTCAGGGCCCTCTTAATCCTGCCCCCTCCCAGCCTGCGCTGCCTGGAATCCGGGGATCTGCCGTCTCCTCACTGGTCTCACAGTGCTGTCTTTGTCCCCCCATGGTCTGTTCTCAGCCCAGCAGCCAGAGCGAGCCACCTGAAATGTCAAGGGATCATCACAGCTCAACTCAAAACCCTTCCCTGGTTCCTCATTTCACTCCAACCAAAGCCAAAGCCCTTTCTTGGCATTCAAGGCCCCCTGCTCTTTCAACCTCTCAGGCCTCGCCCACCGCCCCCTTGCTTGGCTCCGGCCGCACAAACCTGGCTGCTCCTCCAACGTGCCAGGCATGCTCCCACTCGAGGACTCTGCCCTCGCAGCCCCCTCGGCCTGCGATGCCACCCTGACTGGCCACCCAGCCGCTCTCCTCCCTCCTTCCTGCCTCTGCTCCCATGGCTCACTCCACAAGGCCTCCTCAGACCGTCCTTAGAACCCCACGGCCCTTCCCTGCTTTCCTTGGCTCTCAGCACACTTGACCTTCTCAACGCCCTCTACAACTCAACTGGTGTATCTACGTCTGCCCTGATGGGACGGTGCCCACGAGGGTGGGGATTTCCGTCTGCTTTATTCACTGAGACTCAGCAGGACGTGGGTGCTGCCTGAGTGGAAGAGAATCCACAGTCATGGCAGCTGCAGCCCTGGGGACCGGCTGCATCTGGTTTGCAGAGAACCCTGGACAGGCATGTGCTGAGTGACAGAGCCGGGGGAGGGACGGGGGAGGGTGCGGGGCGCTACCTGCTTGACGGCCAGGTTCACCAGGTCGTAGCGGTGGGAGCGGCGTAGAGGCAGGGAGAAGCTGTAGAGCGCGTGCAGGGCGGCACAGAAGAAGCTGAGCAGCCCAATCTGCTTGCGATGCTGCAGCCAGTGGTCCAGCCAGTCGGGGAAGCGGCGGTACTTGGTGCCACGTCGCAGCTGCAGGGCAGCCGCCAGCACGCCGGGCAAGTACACCAGCGACAGCAGCACGTAGGCCACGCACGGCAGTGTGGTGTTGACCACGGACACGGGCAGCTTGTAGAACTTGTTCTTGTCCTCCTGCACGTAGGGCTGCAGCACGTCCCGGATGAAATTGTAGGTGTAGAAGCAGACGAAGAGCCCCAGGGCCAGCAGGGTGGGCACCTTCCAGCCCGGCAGCAGGCGCGAGGACATGGCCTCCACCTCCCGGGCCGATACCAGGGAGCCCATGTCCACAGGCATGAAGCCCATGGCGTGCGCCAGCTCCGAGACGGCACGCTTGGCTTCCGGCTGGTCACTGCAGATGGGCACCTGGGGAAGGAAGGAGGGAGCCGGTCAGGCAGGGTCACGGGCCACAAGAGTGGGTAGGGCCTCATCTGGGCCAAGCTCATCACTGAGTGATTGAGGAACCTGAAGCCCGGAGGGGCAGGGTCGTGTCCAGGTGAGCTGCCGGTCAACAGCACAGATGGGAACAGAAGGAGGCTCTGACTCCCAGGCCAGGGGTCTTTCTTCCGCTGCCATGGCCTCCCAGCCTCAAGCCCAGTGAGCCCAGCCAGGTCCACTGCTCAAGGGGAGAAACAGCTATCGGTGAGCATCTTGTCCAGCTCACAGACATCAGCAGCCACAGGCAAAATGCCCATCGAGGCGGCCCCACGGGCCCCTGGAATGCCTACCTCCGAGGACTGTGCCCTGTGCTGGGAGCCAGCGACAGGGTTTTACATAAGGCCCCAAATCTGTGGCCGTGCTGCGGCTCATTCCCTCAGACCTAGATCGTCCCCTCTGAAGACATCTTTCGCCAATGCACAAGCCTTCCACAAGCCAGCCCCAGCCCACTGCTCCCCACCTTGACCCCACCCCACCGCAGGCACCTGGAGTCCCCAGAGCCCCAAGCACGCCATGGGCCTTCCTGACACTGCTGCGGTCAGTCTGGTTTTGCAACACTGACTGAGCACGTACTGTGTGCTGGGCTTTAACATACATGGTCTCTCAGCTTTGTCACGAGCCTGCAGGTAGGCGCTATTGTCTCCATTTATCAGATGAAGAAACTGAGGTCTAGGGACATTTTAAAAAAATCTCTGTGTCTTTGCAGGTTGTCCTCTCAGCCTGGGATGTGCTCCCTGCTCCTGAAGCCTGACAACATGAGGTGCACCCAGTCAAAGCCCACCTCGAAGTCTTCTCCAGCCAACCTACTTGCTCTGTTCCCTCCAAGTCCTGCACTTGACACTCACCCACTGTTCCTGGCCAGTCTAGGCACGAGAGTCCCATGATGAAACCTGTACCAAAGCCCCTGAAGTCAGGCGTGGCTCTGGACTCTCCCTCAGAGCCTGGTCCCCAGGCTGGACTCACTGGTGAAAGTTCTCATGCGTATGTGGAGTCTGGCACTCTTCCTCCAGGAAAATGCAGGTGGTCTTTTGGCATTAAAAACCACCTGGTCTTGGTAAGAGCTCCTCCTACCTAGAAATATATGCAGCTCTGGCTGTTCTGGGGAGCCATTTTCCAGCCCCAGAAAAACCTGCTGTTGACTACTCTGAGAAATTAGTTCTTGGAAGCCTTTAGAATGAACGAGATGAAGTTTGGGACATGCCTGCCTTCCTTAGGGCCTGACACGTAAGTGTGTTGCTTTCCTCTTTCTGAGTCTAGTCCTCAAAGCAAAATCTCTCTCCCTCTTGACTCCAAATAGGAAAAACCCATCTGCCTTTTCTCCCTTGCCCCCTAGGACACCCAGTTACAAGAGCAGGAAGAACATGGGTTCCAGATCCATATGAACTGGGTTCAAATCCCAACTCACTGGTTGTGGGATTTTGAGGAAGATTATTCACCTCTCTGAGTCTCAGTTTCCTGCTCTGCAAAATGGAATTTTGCAGTGATGTCAGATGAGCTTAGATAATATATGAAAAAAAGCCTGGAATGTTGATGGCCATCAGTGAAAATTAGCCATTTGCATGTACCGTCATGGTGGATGTTATTGCCCCAGAACCTACCTGCCTGTTTCCATCCCTTGGGCCCGCCTGCAGGGTCCAGGCAGAGATGACGTTGAAGGCCTTGACTACTGTGCAGGTGGGGAAGAGGGAGGCCAGGTACTCGGCATTGGACTGGCGGTGCCGCAGGTGCTCCTGCTCCGTGGGGTTGCTCACGTCCACCAGGACCTTGCCAGCCAGCGGCTCGCGGAGCCCACACAGTGAAGGGTAGTGCTCCCGGAACACGGCCACGAAGATCACCTCCGGGGAGCTCACAGCCTCCTCCTGGAAAGTCACTCGGGCGGCCGAGGGGAACAGCCCGGCCGTGCGTTTGGGGTTGCGGCTCCCCACCACCACGCCGAAGCCGGAGCCCACCAGGCGCGTGGCCAGGGAGCGGGCAAAGTCTCCACTGCCCAGGATGCCTACTTTGGGGGCCTCACGGAGGGCCTCGGCGAGGTTGCCATCACTGTCCGCCGGGTGGTGACTGATCAGTGGCTTATCCATCTCTCCCGACATTTCGGAGGCTGCAAGAGAAGACAGGAACCTGGTCAGTGGAGGGCTCCCTGCTGGCCCTCCTGCTCCCTGCCTCCTCATGCCCATTGTAACCGCATGACGGTCAGACAGTCACCCAGCGGGCGCTCACTGAGTGCGACTATGGGCTGGCACCTGGGGACAAGCTGAGCGAGGCCCAGCCCCTGTCCGGAGAGGGCACAGACTCAGGAGGAGGAGGGGAGGAACTTCTGCCTTCCAGCCTAGGTCCTCCCTCAATTATTTCCTCAGGACAAATGGCCGAGTGAGGGCGCTGGGAAAGAAGGCTCTGGAACTTCCCTGGCCAGTGCTATGCAGTACCACACTCCCCTACAAAAGATGGTGTGATGGACGGTGTCACTAGCTAGGAGTGACCATCTACCTCCAGTCTCCCCAAGGCTGAACGTTGTCTTTGATGATGGAAGAGTCGCACGTCTCTGCCTGTGTTTTTCTCTGACGTTTTGGGCAGTTTTCCTCCTGGTCTTCCTCGACACACGGCTCGAGGGCTGGGCCTCATCTCATCTGACTTGGGACCTCACTGTGTGTCACAGCCTGGGACGGGGTGGTGCTCAGTATTTGCTGAATGAATGAATGAACAGATGGAGGAATACTGGGCCCTGCTCCACGAGGACAAGGCTGGGGAGACACAACAGTGCATGCACTCAGGATGGTGTCCTGGGAGCAACTTCGCTGAGCCTGAGGTACGACAGACATGGAAGGAACCCTGGACTTGAGCCAGCAATTGACAGTAAACTTGGACAGGGGAATTATATTTCAACCGTCACTAACTTCCTTTTTTGAGTCAGGGTGTCACTCTGTCACCCAGAATGGAGCACAGAGGCACCATCACTGCTCACTGCGGTCTTGAACTCCTGGGTTCAAGTGATCCTCCCACTTGAGCCCAGGCTCAAGCCCAGACTTGAGCCCAGACTTGAGCCCAGTCTCCCAGGCAGCTGGGACTACACGTGTGTGCCACTCTGCCACAAGCTGATTTTTTAATTTTTGCAGAGATGGGGTCTCGCTATGTTGCCCAGGCTAGTTTCAAACTCCAGGGTTCAAGCAAACCTCCTGTCTCAGCCTCCCAAAGTGCTGGGATTACAGGCATGAGCCACTATGCCCGGCCAGTTGTCATGAACTTCTAATCAAAATGTGCCATTTCCTGTAAGTACAGAGATAAGTGGGTTTTTTCATCATTTGCCATATCACAAATTTAACCATCAGTGAGTTCCCCTCATTCTATTTAAACTCATCAGGAACTTAAAATTATTGGAGACACCAGGTCTGGTGTCATTTAGATCTTGTCATTTAACGTGCTACTAAAGAAGCATGCATATTGCTACCATATATCTTTTCAAAATTATATTTCAACGGTGTTTCCAAATACTATGTTTCCTTTGCAAACCTAGGCTATCTTATTTTCTGCACATAAAAGCATTATTCTGAGTAGAAGTCTGCAGGCTTCACAGCCCATGGGCCCATAGGGGTTAAGAACACCTGCCTGGGCCGGGCTCGGTGGCTCAGCCTGTAATCCCAGCACTTTGGGAAGCCGAGGCGAGTGGATTGCCTGAGCCCGCAGGTTCGAGACCCACCCAGGCAACTTGGCGAGACCTTGTCTCTACAATAAATCAAAAAAATTAGCCGGGTGTGGTAGCGTGCACCTGTAGTTTCGGCTACTTGGAAGACTGAGGCAGAAGGATCGTCAGAGCCCAGCAGGTCGAGGCTGCAGTGGCCGGGAGCGTGCCACTGCAGTCCAGTCTGGGTGACAGAGTGAGACTCCAACTCAAAAAAAAATAAACAGAGAACACCTGCCTGGAAGCATGGAGCAGAGGGATGGGTGTCTGCCTCTTTCCACTTTTCCACACGACTTTCCTGGGACCCTCTTACCACCAGATACAGGGACTAATCCAAGGGTGGAGCTGGGGACCAGAAGGCTGTAGCCGGCTCTGCCACAAACCACCTGTGTGTTCTTGGACACATCTTGTGCCCCCCTGGGCCCCAGCTTCCACCTTTGTCAATGGAGATCACAATCTCTGCTCTCAGATGGCCAACACTGCGATCTTAAAAGGCTTTCAAGTCTGTGACGTAGGCCGGGTGTGGTGGCTCAAGCCTATAATCCCAGCACTTTGGGAGGCTGAGTTGAGAGGATTGTCTGAGCCCACAGGTTCGAGACCAGTCTGGGCAACATGGTAAGACCTCATCTCTACAATAAATAAAAAAATTAATTGGGTGTGGTACCACGCGCCTGTAGTTCCAGCTACTTGGAAGCCTGAGGTGGAAGGATCCCCTGAACCCAGCAGGTCGAGGCTGTGATGGCTGGCTGGGAGTGTGCCACTCCAGCCTCAGTGACAGAGTGAGACTCCAACTGAAAAGAAAAAAAAAAAAAGACTGTGATGTGGACCTCTCATAAGGCAGGAGAAGCTCCTATTTATGGGATGCCTGGCACACACCGGTCACTGCTCTCAGGTCTGTCTTTGAGTGATGTTCCCTACTCCTTACGAGAACCCCAGGGAGTAGATACTGCTATTACCCCCACTTTAAAGAGGAAGAGGCTGGGTGTGGTGGCTTTTGCCTGTAATCCCAGCACTTTGGGAGGCCGAGGAGAGAGGAGCATTGGAGGCCAGCCTGGGCAAAATAGTGAGACCTCCTCTCTAGCAAAAAAAAGATAAAGAGAAGAAAACTGAGGCTCAGAGATGTTGGAGAACTTGCTCCAGGTGGCACAGCTAAGTGAGAGAAGGAAGAACAGGATAAGGGCTGTCTGCCTTCTCGGGTGAGCTTCTCTCAGTCTTATCATCCAGACAGAGGACAGTGAGTTCTCTGGAGAGGCACCCAGATAGTAGCAGAGCTGGGACCACACTGGCTGGGGAGAGAGATCAGTGTGGAAGGGGGTGTGCCGACTGTCCATTCTGAGTGAGGGGACATGCATTCATGTCCTGTCTCTTCTTCCACCTCTTCGAAGTGGTTTTGAAACATCACCCTGCCTCCCTCTCAGATTAGTGGGGACTGGCTGGGCTAAACCACCAGGGAGTTGTTTTTGTGGGAGCCATGCTTCCAGAGTCCACGGGTAGAGGGCCATACTCTCACGGACATGCAAGTACCCACCTGGACTCCACCTCACTCATGCCAGACTCCACCTCCAAGTAGAATGGGAGAAGGTATTTTCACCTGGTTCTGGGGCTGTTTTCTAGGGTGGCGAGCCACCCTGTGTAGACGACTATGGGCCTCATGACCCATCCCATAGGGAGGTCATGGCAGGGAGGACCACGCGGGTCTCCTATGCAAAGCTGTTGGGGCCAGGAGCCGGGCTCTGGAGCCAGACCGCCTGGATTCTGATCCTGACTCTGCCACGTGTTAACTGTGCGACCCTGGGCCCGTCAGTGCCTCAGTTTGCCCAACTGTAAAAGGAAGACAATCATTGTACCTTCCTTCAGGAAAGGTTGTGGGAATGAGTAAGCCAATATGCATAAAACACTCAGAGATGGGTACATAATTCGTGCTCAGCAAACGCTGTTCAGTAATGATTGAGCAAACGCTGGTTGCTGGCAGAAACGAAGCACCGTGCCAGCACACGGCCCAGGTGAGAGGGGAGGGCAGAAGACGCTGCCAGCATCCCTTTGACCCGTTCAGTCCTGGAGAGGAGAGATGAAGGGCAGGGTGAGACCTGAGCCAAGTCAGGGGCCTTGCTGGTAGCCTCAGGGCTGCATCAGGGATTTGGGCCTAGGGGAATGCAAATCCCTCCCCTCCCGTGGTCAGGAGGGTCGTGGTTCCCCTGTGGCCAGTCGGGGCTGGGACAGATACATCCAGGCCCATCCCCAACCACCTGGAGACACCAGCCTCACAGGGTGTTTTGCCCTGATGGGGAGAGAGGGCAATTACACTGAAGCCTCCAGACCATCTTTCCCACCGCCGACTTTGCTAACAATTTGGATGAGATCAACTGAGGCCCTTCCAGGGAGAAACCTCTTTTCTTTGCTTTCTCTTTCCTCGCTCCCTTCCATCTCCTTAGTGACTTTGTGTCGAACACTCCTTCTTTTTTTGAGTTGGAGTCTCATTCGGTCGCCCAGACTGGAGTGCAGTGGCCACTCCCAGCCACTGCAGCCTTGACCTGCTGGGCTCCGGCAATCCTTCCGCCTCAGCCTTCTGAGTAGCCGGAACTACAGGCATGCGCTACCATGCCCGGCTGATTTTTTGATTTATTGTAGAGATGAGGTCTCGCTGCCCAGGCGGGTCTCGAACCCGCGGGCTCAGGCAATCCACTCATCTCAGCCTCCCAAAGGTGCGGGATTACAGGCTGAGCCACCAAGCCCGGCTTGAACACTCTTTCTTAAGAGCATAAAGGTAATAAGAAGTGGCCCTCGCACTTGGATGGTTTTCAATCTAGTATGTGTGTGGGGGGCCGAGAGGTGGGGCTGGGATAAGACCCGTCTCCTTGTGAACGGACACGGGGCAGCTAGGGATGGAGCCTGGGCATGGCACAGGCATGGCAGGACTCTTGCCCAGGGGGCAGGCACCACCGTCAAAGGGGAAACCAAGGAGGCCTTCACAGCCCCTGATAGCCCTTGGAGAACCTCAGATGGTTTGCCGTCTCAGGACAAAACTGAGCCAAAGCCAACTAAAGTGGAGAAAGGCAGTCAGACCCAGATTCTGAATCCGGTCTTTGTTCTAATCCCAGATTCTTCCCAAGGGAGGAAGAGACTATTAGAGGCTGGGCCTCGAGGTTGGCTCAGAAGCTGACTTAGTATCTGTCTCCTTCCAGGGAGCAGAGAGAGAGGCAGCTGTGGCAGAGGGGAGACCCGGTAGGGGCTGGCCCCGGCTCTGCCCCTTACTGGCCCCGGGACACAGGAGCGTTGCTGAGTCTCTCTGGGTAGCTCTCTAACATGAGTCACTGCACCAGTCACTGAGCCCCTCCTGGCCCTGGCAGTCCAGGGATCTATTAAGTGTCCTAGACATGGTCCTAAGGGGCCCTGCTCACAGCCGCGAGAGGAAGGGAAACTAAATATTA